TCCAACCAGCGCTTGTATCTTCTGCAATCTCTCTTTAAATGTCCAAATTTCTTGCAGAAGAAACACTTCAAACCTACTGGACCCGTGCCCTTTGCAGACTCATCTTTCCTTTGCTGCTTATCTGTGTTCTTGTTTTTGGTCCATTCCTTTGGTTTAAACTTAGTATCCTGCACCAAATACACTTGTTCTTTTCCTTTTTCCTTTCTGATACTTTGTTCTTCCTGCACACATATACCTATCAAATCAGCAACTGACCATATCTCCTTCTGAGCAATATAAGTAGTTTTCAGTTGTCTAAAAATGCTAGGTAGAGAATTAATAGCAAAGTGCACCATCATGGTTTCATCCACATGGACTTTTAGAGCCTTCAGCTTGTTTCCTATCTCAACCATGTTCAGAATATGAGTTCTTATGCAGCCTTCTCCATTGTATTTCATATCTGTCAGCTGGCTCATGAGTGAACCAATTTCAGCTTTCTTGGATCCTTGGAAGTTTTCTGCAATAGCTTCCATGAATAGCTTAGCACTCTCAGTTTCAATAATACTGCCTCTGACCTCTTCTGAAATAGACCTCCTCATGATCAGAATTGCCATTTTGTTGGCCTTAATCCACTTTGCATATTTAGTCTTAGTCTCAGCAGATGCATCAATCGCAGGTACTGATAGAGCTTCATCAGTAAGAACCATCTCATAATCCAGAAGTCCAAGAGCAATTTCCACATCTTCTCTCCATTTCTTATAATTTGAGCCAGTGAGAGTTCGAATCGAGTTATGATTGACTGTACATGTTTAAAACAAGATAAGCACTTTATATATAAATTTCCCCAGAACTTTAATCAAACATACTTAATCACATCTTTGGACAATGATTCAAGCATGCTTATTGACACTGGAAAACGAGTAGATGTGGATTTCCTGAGCAAAAGATCTTCTACATCTTTAGACAGAAGAAAACCTTTCACTAATCCATATCTATCCATGTTCCATGTCGATCCACCATGATGCAAGACATATCAAACTGCTGACATCTTTGGACAGAAAGCCTTTCGACATGTTTTGCATCATGGTGCAAATTCTGATCATAAACCTTGAATATAGTGATCATGCAATGGTTGAATCGCTTTGGCTAACTCAATCACGGCACAAGAACTGTAAGCAATGATCTGTAGAAAACTTTAAGAACATGATAAAGTTCATACTTTATACTGTTATCATGTTCATACTTTATAACTTAAAACTGTCAGTTATTTATTCTCAATTTTCCTGCACGAGTTTTGTTAGGTATCAAGGAACACTTAGAGATATCCTTCATGCTATAGGATTAATCCATTTCAATCCTTGTAGAACTAGGAACCCTTAAGCCTTCATTATCCTTATTAAACACTGTTTGAGGCTTGCCTAATCGAGATAGGTTTTGAGTTCCTAATAAACAATAAGTCTTAGTAATCCTAATTTGATTAGAAGATCACTTTAGTAGGTTTAATGTAATAAACCTTCTTACACATTTTTCTTTTGGCTCAGCAAGAGCGAGAGAGAGCATACGATTGGGCGAAGATGGATGGGGAGGAAGAAAGAGATCAGCCCTTGAACGTGTATCCCTAATTTAATTTGTTATTTTTGTTGCTGATTAGAATTGTTAAACAGGAATGTTTGAGTAGAACAAGGAGTATGAGTCGGGGTTTACACTACTAATTATATGTGCTGTTGGATTAATCTAAGGGCCTTTATTAAAGATGTTCTCACATATCTTCATTTTTAAGTCCTTAGATGAACAGAACTCTTTGAGACTGGATTGGAACCAGTCCCCAGTCTACGACCCGTCTAACAAACATGATCTTATGCGACTCATAGAGAATGGCGCAAAGTTCTGGTTGAAGGAGATTCTAAACTTATTATTGACTCTGTTAATTAGAAAGCTTTGGCCCCGTGGAGTATCAACAACCTCTTGATCAAAGATATAGTGCTTATCAGCTCCTTCTGTGATTCCTGCTCGTTCAGTCATGTTTTTCGTGAGGCTAATTTCACGGCTGATGCTGTTGCTAGTTTGGGACATGGGTTAAATCCTTCCAAGCTTTGGGAGGCGGGGCTTCCTCTGAACTGTTCGATACCTTTCTATTTTGACTTGTTGGGGCCTGTACATGTGTGTCCTTGTGATTTTTTGCTTGCAGTTTTCCTCTATGTATAAAAAAATAAAAATAAAAAACACACGACCTTATAAGGTTGACATGTGTTGTGACATTGATAACCCAATCAACACAAAATCAACAAAGTCTCCATGCAGGCTGCATTAATACATACAATACAAAGTCGAACAGCAGTATGTGAGGCTTCATGTAATACCATAGGTTTAGATACACACAAAGTTACTCTCCCTTCAATGTTATATCGAGTTAAGACATACGATTACCGATGTATCTCACATTATCTCGATTTTGTTTATTTAGTTATAAAGGGAGTAAACTTTCTTCCTTGTCCACTAACCAGGAAACTAGGGAAGCCTAAAATTCAGAGAAAATACAAAGTGATTAGCAAATTGATTAAAAAGGTGAAGAATAAATGAAATACCATGAATGCAATTGCCCATCAACATTTGTTGGAGATATTTCAACCTTTATATGCCTTATTCAGGTTACGTTGTTTTAGTCTAGAGAGAGTGGAATATATTTTCTCCGGTATGTTTTCAATAGCCCTTTCAGTGTTGGGATTTCGTAACTGAAGATTTCTGTAGCAAGTTAATTATTATTAGTTATATAAAAATATTTAAAATAATTTTATTTGGACTGCCATACTACGAAATTCACATTTTTTATATAAATATTTTCTAGAACAAAATATATATATATATATATATATATATATATAAAATGTGAGAGAGTTCGATGAAAGTCACTAACTTGTTTCAATTTAAATAAACACAAAAATGAAATAGCCCAAAGACACAAACATGAAACCTCAAAATAAACTTGTCCTACAAACTCCCAGAACATCTTCAATCTAATAATCCAAATATTTTGGTTTGGTAGAGTTCATATGAAATGAAACCCTAAATCAAGTTGACAAGTACAGAAATATATCTAAGCAAAACCCTCTTCTTGCACGAGATCCAAGTATTGATTCTTTTAACTTTTAATTTATTCTTTGTAGTATCATCAAATAAAGCAAGCATGTCTTCTCTGATCAAACTAAACAAAAAGCATATAAATAAATAAATAAATATACGTAGCAAAGCAAAAGTAGCTCACCCCAGTTTGAGAGATAAAGTGACATCGGAGCAGTCATCTTCAAGAGAGAGACTGAAAGCACTGTTGCAGCTGGTGGAGGTGGCAATTACGGCAGATTCAGATGACATGTCGTCTTCTCCTCCTCCACCTCCAACATTAGTAATCAACGTCTCCGGCTCCACAAACGCAGGTCCAGTATTTCCTCCGGATAACATCACCATCTGCTATGCAAAAAATACAAAATCAAAAAGGAAAAAAAAGATGAAGGTAGAAATATGTACATGATTGTGGTAGTTGCTTACCCTATGCCTTAACTGGTTGTTGGTTTCTACCAGCTCAGCTCCCTGAAATTATAGTCGGTGTGCGTGGAAGAGAAAACCAGAGCCAAACTTGGTTATGATTATTGATGTTAAAGTCCTGATTATTGTAAATAGTTGAAATTTGTTTTCATTTACAGAGTACGTATCAATCATCTAACCTTTTTCTCCAGTGCCATAATCGCACTCATAATCAGCTCTTCCTGAAAAGGAATGGAACATTTGCATTTAGATGTTAGTTTATAGTGACAACCCAGGATGCACTTATGCTTTTCACAAAATAGAGCAATTAAAATATACTCTCTATGCACAAACAACTTCTTCAAACAAAGGACAATTGTGGGACCTACTTTATATTATTCGAACAGTTCACCATTTAGGTTTTCATTCAAGAATCATCCGGCAAAAAAATAGAATATAGGACACTTATTTGACCATTTCATTAAATGGTAATGATTTCACCATTTAATAACTAAGCTAACGGGCAAATGGAAAATGACTTTAATTTGCAAATCAGAGGTCTCGAATTCGAGCTCCCTTGGCATCTTAGTAGTGTGAGTGTGTGCGAAAAACCTCCCTCCCCTATAATTTAGACTATCGCTTGTACTAACACCATTTAACTATTCTGCAACAAGGATTCCTAAATTATAATAAACGGTTTCGATCATTAAACCACAGTACAGAGAGTGACGCCTTGCACCATCCTTACTAGGAAAGAAATTTGCTAGGGCAGACCTTAGTTTCTATCACACGGCCAAGGCTTGCTTCCACCACTTGTTCTAACTTCAGCAGCTCATCCAGATTCAGCCCTTCAAGATCCTCACCTTTCATCTGCCTGTTGCAAGCCAGTCCAATTCCCGCACATAATTCAAGCAATAATACCAGCTAAACAGCCACATATATCTTATAAGTTCATGATGATTTAATAAATTTGTACCTCAGCTGGCGGCTCTTCTCCTCGAGTTCCTTACTCAGTTTGATGTTGTTTTCATTCTCCAGCTAAAATGAGAAATATTGGAACCATTACATAATCTAATCTGTTACATAAAAAGCTTATAAACGTCAGCCCCGAAAAACAAGGAAACAACGTAACGGGAAGAACAAAAAGGATTACAATATATTTTTGGAAATGGAATCAAATGAATTACTGGAACATACAAGAACACGGATTTACAATTTGTCCTAGTCGTTCTGGGTATTTATTGATTTCCTAGTTTTGTCAGGATTTAGTTAGCTAACAAAATTAGGGTTCTATGTGAGCCTGTGAAAGAGGTTATTTAGGGGCTAAGCCTCAACTGCAACCAAAGTGAGAGGGACACATAGAAGTCTCCAACTCAACTATCTGGAGTTCTGAAAAAATCATAAGAAATTAAATCCCCTAAAGCTTGAAAAACAATTCAATAATAGACTTTTCACAAATAGGTCCATTCTAACATGACATACTATACAAAAACGCATATAGAGGCTATTTGGAGAGAAACCCAAAACTAACCACTTGTCATTTTCTGATTGGTTATTATTGTGTTCAAATTTTCTAAGAACCAATTAGAAAATGACAAGTGGCTAATTTTGAGTTTTTACCTTCAAATAGCCTTTATATAATGGACTTATTTGTAAAAACCTATAAAATAATTTACCCTCTCCTTTGAACACTTGGAAAACAACTAACAGTAAAAGTAAGTAATAATTGATAGTTGATGATGAATCTATGTCCCAATTTTTTCATTGACTAATTCTTATGTAGACCAAATTAAGTCCACTAGAAATGGTCTTATCGAAGCCACCTATATATATATATATATATATATATATATATATATATCCCAAGATGCCGACCTGCTGCATGCATATACATAAGTCTGGCATGTAACAGGATAATGTTTTTTTATTTTATGTTCAAACAATCAGAACCGTCAGTTGCTATAGAGATGCATTTTGAATCTCCAAAGTGCAGATCACAGAGTAATGTTACAATATTAATTGCAGAACAATTTAAAAGAGGAAAGAGAAAAGGTCATTGAACTCATTTACTTGCAGCTCAAGAAACTGTTTGTCTGATTTTTCGGCACCACCTGTGTGCGCTTTGTACCTTTCAATAACATCCTCGGTACTTCACAACACAAAAGGAAAAAATAAACAATCAATTGGCATGTTCATTAGTACATTATTAAACATAGAAAAATTAACGTGTGACTAAACATACATGAGTAACAAAAAAATGGAAAATATTCAAACTTCTGGTTTGCAAACACAGATATACACTTATACATATACTTTTATTTGATATGCATAATGAGAACGTTATGCTATTTCCTGCTGGCTTTATTGCTTGGTTTCCTTCATAGCTATTTTAAGGAATTATTATATATAAGACCAACCCAAGCAGCTGAGATATTTTAGAACACAAGTCAAACCGACGTGAGAAAATCAAGTCAGCTAATAAGTGGGCCCATGGGCGGAACCAAGGCAAGGGCTGCCCTTGGCTGTAGCCCAGGGAAGGTTTGGATAAAAAATAAATTAAATATACATATATCATAATATTTTAACTAAAAACAAATAAATATATATACAATTTCAACACCAATAGGCATAGTAAGAGGTCTTCCACATTTGTATTTGGTGTCAAAGTTTGTCCCAACATCAATTTTAAAAATTTTATATTAATTTGTCTCCAAAAGAGAAGCATTTTACTATAGAAAATGTAAGTACAAAAAAAAAATTATAATTTGATTTTAAGCTAATAACTTTAGCTAGCCCACCCATTGAAAAATTTCTGGTTCCGCCCTTGAGTGGGCCTCAAAAATCTTAGCTACGGACAGTTCCTCTCACATCAACTCTGGAGCTCATAGAAATATGCTTTGAATATTGTTATCTTTGGTTGGCCTTCTTTTTAGTCAGTGGGCGTTTTTGATTGGCTTCTTTTTATCCTGAATTCGTCAGCGCTAGCTACCATGCAAATACGAATCTCAAACACTATATTAATTCATGAAAATCAATCTGACCCAAGTTTTTCTTGCAGGGTAGTGATAGATCTGAAAATTCACTCAACTCCATGTAGGCCTATGCCAATAATACTACCGATAATGTGTTTTAAAAACTAGCAAAAAACAATCATAACATTACAAACTGTTACACAATTGCGCCCCTTTTTTTGTTTACATGAATGCAAAATTGAAGGCACTTGGGCTATTCTCATCTCTCCCTATAGCAGTTAGGGATAGACTACCACAAACTCAAGACACATGCGTGCAAAATATAATTGAGGAAAAAAAAAAAAAAAAAAACCCTATCCGCTTGGGGATAGGTCACATGTAGGTCTTACATTTTAACCTCAATCCCCATCCATTATAAACCTTTAGGATAACATACAATGTATGCAGGGCTTATCCACACCTTTAGTAGTTCCCTCCAAAACCCATGTCTTCAGCCTAAACCTTAATTCCTGAACCCTAAAACCCCAAATC